GCTTATTTGTACACAGACTGCTGGTTCCTTGCCTCTCAGGCAGATGCATTTAGACTTCAAAGTAAACACCCTATTTTGTTGCCTTTTACGACATGAGTGTTAGGGGGATTTCTTGACGCCTCAGAGATGTGGTTTTACAGATGAATGCTTAAAATACCTTGGACAGCCAAAAAAAGCAACCAAAAGGTTTTAAAAGAGGCGGGAGCCGGAAGACAACTTATCACAGACATCAGAAGGAGACATCATTTTTTGGCCACTTTATGAGAAGAGTGAAAATGGACCATGTTGTGACCACAGGAAGGAGGGATAGAGGAAGACAATGAGAGGAGATTCTCGATAGTCTTGTTGAATGGCATGGAGGTGTGTCAGCACACGAACTAATACATGCTGCAGGAGATTGCAGATTGTGGAGAGGCATGATCGACCACGCCAGTTGGCAAGGCACCTGATGATGATGATGATTATTAGGGGGCAGTTGGTTTGCCCCCCCCCCCCCCCCAACAAAATAAATGGGGCCCGGAACCCACAAAAGGATATTATAGGAGTCAAATCAGCAGCTGGAGTGCTTTAGTGAGCCCTTATTAAATGTACATGCAAGAAGCACAAACATTCAGAACATACTGAGCCACGAACATGAGCAAATGCCTGTCCTCCATGGTGCACTGTTTGCCAGAAAAATGCGTTCAGTACACATAACACTTGAAGTATTCTCTGTTTTAAAATTCTGATATTTAATGTTCAAACTAAAAACAAATGTACACATACTAAAACAGACAGTGTTCGCATCCATTAATTTGTATCAATGAACAACAAGAGGCATTAAAATCAAAGATCATGTACATTATGGGTAAGGAAACAGATTCTCCACTGCAGCAACAAGTAAAGATATTAATTCAATAAAGAACTTATGTTCTACTATTATTTAAAGGCAATTCTATTTTAACACTTCCTCCTGTTCGACTTGGCATGTTTCTGCATGTGATTTTATCTAATCGTGAATTCTGTAACTGCTTCCATACAAAATACAAATTTACTGATTGCAAAATGTTGATTTTTCAGTTTATGCACAGTGAAAAATCTGGCAAAACATAGAGTAAATGAAAATGGAAATCTCTAAATACGATCTGGTAAAAACACTATACAAAGGAAAATTTGGAAAGGAAAGCCACATGGTGGAATCTGGCAAAAAACACTAACATCAAGCAAAACTTGGAATGTGAAACTACACAATCGAATCTAAACTCTGTGAAAAGAATAGAATGTTATTTTTAATGAGGCATTTACATAAATAATAAATGTATAACAGTTAGTTCTTATTATGTTGTAGGTAACAGGCAGATTATTTTTTATTATGTTGTCGGTAACAGGCAGATTCTTTTTTATTATGTTGTAGGTAACAGGCAGTTTCTTTTTTATTATGTTGTAGGTAACAGGCAGTTTTTTTTCTTATTATGTTGTCGGTAACAGGCAGTTTTTTCTTATTATGTTGTAGGTTACAGGCAGATTCTTTTTTATTATGTTGTAGGTAACAGGCAGTTTCTTTTTTATTATGTTGTAGGTAACAGGCAGTTTTTTTTCTTATTATGTTGTCGGTAACAGGCAGTTTTTTCTTATTATGTTGTCGGTAACAGGCAGTTTTTTTCTTATTATGTTGTAGGTAACAGGCAGATTCTCCAAAATATGCTACTTACAATCACTAACTCTGAAAAATGCATCAATTCTTGGTCATCTCATTCCATGTGAGTTCACACTTTTAGGGATCATCTCTTAAGGTTGTCTTGCTGTCATATCGACATTCCCTGTGTGGGTTACAGATCCCCATTTTGGTGGGGAAAAAAGAATTCAGTGACCCCTAACAAGCTCATTGTAAACATGTGACTATATAGGGGTTTAGTAAAACTGGATGTGTTGAGCTGAAAAGTACAACTATTGCAGCCTATAAACCACAATACTATGTCTCAACTGCTTTTTAAAGGGTGAATGTAGAAGAAGACAAGGAAGAAGGATACATTCTCCACAATATACTACTTACATAATCATTCGGGAGAACAAGATGCCAACAAGCTAGTGCACTTATATACCAAGTGACACCATTATTAAGACATCCAAACATAAGTATGAGTGCCAAGAAACAGATTATAAACAACATATTCATACTAATACTATGCTACCTGTGCCAGACTTGGATATTATCAAAGGCAAACCTAAGTAAAATTAAAAGACAAGATGTTTGAAGAAGACAAACATTGAGAAAACAGTATAACCAGAAAAAATTCCTTTGCTGGAATCGACATGGGGTGAGATATAGAAGGAGAGATAAAACTACACTGAAAAGAAAAAGATGAAGATAGAGAAAATAAGAAAGACATGGAGGGAGCAAAAAATGTCCTGACCTGGCTGAAGACTTATGCTTCAATGAAGGATAAAAGGCAAGGGAATTAATAGGACATCACTTTATTCGGATGTAATTAAAAAAAAGTTTGTGGCATTTTACATAGCTCATTGCATCATTTGTGTTTAAGTTCCACTTTACAATTGTCTTTATTCATTCAATTTAAAAACGAGACTGAGTTATCTGATATCACATTAGTTATACCCACAGGAAAAGGAGATCCCATTCCATTTCAATAATGTTAAAATTGAAAACTGAATTAAAATCTCTTCACCATCATCAAACAACAAGAGTTTTACTGTAGACGGAATTGACCAACTTGTGCAGACTTGCTCTATTATACCACACTACCGCAGCCGTGGACAGCCCAACGATCAGACTGTAAAACATATAATAACCAGGGCGATACGGCTTCTTGGTTGTATTTCTGCTGTCTGCCTTCACAAGGTCTGCAGGATCAATGTTCTGTGTTTTCATTGTCTGGAATAAAAGAGAGATCTGTTATATTTTAGATGCAGAGTTACGACAGACAGAAGTGGGAGGAAAGATAGGACAGACAGAAGTGGGAGGAAAGATAGGACAGCCAGAAGTGGGAGGAAAGATAGGACAGCCAGAAGTGGGAGGAAAGATAGGACAGCCAGAAGTGGGAGGAAAGATAGGACAGCCAGAAGTGGGAGGAAAGATAGGACAGCCAGAAGTGGGAGGAAAGATAGGACAGCCAGAAGTGGGAGGAAAGATAGGACAGCCAGAAGTGGGAGGAAAGATAGGACAGCCAGAAGTGGGAGGAAAGATAGGACAGACAGAAGTGGGAGGAAAGTTAGGACAGCCAGAAGTGGGAGGAAAGATAGGACAGCCAGAAGTGGGAGGAAAGATAGGACAGCCAGAAGTGGGAGGAAAGATAGGACAGCCAGAAGTGGGAGGAAAGATAGGACAGCCAGAAGTGGGAGGAAAGATAGGACAGCCAGAAGTGGGAGGAAAGATAGGACAGCCAGAAGTGGGAGGAAAGATAGGACAGCCAGAAGTGGAAGGAAAGATAGGACAGCCAGAAGTGGGAGGAAAGATAGGACAGCCAGAAGTGGGAGGAAAGATAGGACAGCCAGAAGTGGGAGGAAAGATAGGACAGCCAGAAGTGGGAGGAAAGATAGGACAGCCAGAAGTGGGAGGAAAGATAGGACAGACAGAAGTTGGAGGAAAGATAGGACAGCCAGAAGTGGGAGGAAAGATAGGACAGACAGAAGTGGGAGGAAAGATAACATCTAACAGCTTTGCAAAAAAGTGTTACAACAGAGATATTAGGAGGAAATGTACAAAATTAGCATATGTAACAGTAGGAACACACCAACAGACCGTGTGCAACAGCAAATCAAGTATTGAGGCAACTAAGATCACTTTTGATACACAGAGAGATACCTTTGTCTGTCATGGGAAATCTCATAGGAACTGGTTTTTTTTGGGGGTCAACTTTCTACTACCGGTGACAAACAGGGACACTTACTACAACTAATGAGTTCACAATCACAAATACAGAGAAGAGATATTTTAGGAAAGTTGCCTGAGCAACAAGAAGAGATAAATAAAAATCTGGAAATCAGACGAAGACTAGGATTAAAACTAGTCAGTTATGCACCAATTAAAACAATATTTATATGTCAATCAGGTCTATTATTAATTGAATCTTCTTCTTCTTTTCATTAGTCATAGTGACGTAATTGCACTGTGCCTCTTTACAGCAAAACTGTGATATTTGAGCCTTTTAGCCAACACATCCATTTTCAATAAGCATTTGTTGATCAGGTTACCTTCCCAGATAGTTTTGTGGGACATGGACACAGCCTTATTTATGTGGTGACTTCTTTGTCCCCCTACCTACCTACAGGGTTTGCCACTAGGAGAACCCATCCAGGGCAACCACATGTAGACTGGTCAGCACTGAAGGGAAGGCAGGGGCAGATCATGGGCATTACCCAACACCCAGGAAGGCTTTCATAAATGCATAACCGATCCACGACACTCTGGTCATGTGCTCATCCAAGCAATCATCACGTTCTGCACATGGCTGCGCCCTCTGGAGATCAGCCCGAACTTTAACAACCACACAAATAGGTATATTCTTCAACAGTAAGTCCAACACTTTTAATGTTGTTTTATATGGACACTTAGCATGACAGCATGCATCAGGCATGGCTTCCTCTTTTTGGCCCCGATACTCTAGCGAGTGGGGGGCCAATGATAACAGACATCTGAATCTTTCAGTCAAACAGTAGTCTTTTGACAGTCAGACATTTAAGGCTTTTCTGCTATGCCAAAGGACATGTATCTGATGAATATCTGAGGTGGGGTACGGAGTATCTCCTTACACACCACACACAAAGCCCTTAACTCCTCTCACGTCTGTGACCAAAATCACTGTCGCACTTATAAAAAAATAATGAAAAAATAATATAAATAAATAATATAAATGAAATCCTAAATCTGACAAACAAAAATGTGAAGATGTAAAAACAGATATGGGTGCTGAAAAACAAACCAGTACAAAAAAAACAAAAAAAGAAGGGAACAAGAGCAGAGTAAAAGTACATATAAAAAAAGACTAGAAATGACGGATTACCTTAACTAGTTCAGACTGCAACCTCTCCAGCTCTGAGTGCAATGCTGAGACATTCTTGATGGCGTCTTCAGAGTGTCGAAGTAGTTGCCTGACTGTCACCTCATCCTGTCAGAATTAAGTCAATTAAAAAAAAAAAAGTTTCACTAAAATGTTCTTCTGCCTTCAAAAAAAATGTACAGTAGCTGAGTTGTGGTAAAGTTGTTTACATAATAAATAAATAAACAATAAGAGTAATATAAATGTACAATCACAAGTGACAAAACTGATACTGTAGCTAGCATTTAACCCCCCCAAAAATAATACACAGAATTTTTTGGGTTATTACCATGCTTAATTACATGTATGTGTGCGAGCACATATAAATCTATGTACACAAACATTTGTATGCCTGTGAACACATGTGTGCAAGTATGTATGTGAATGTATTGAATGAGTGCATGACAAAAAGAAAGAAAGACAGAGAAACTTTTTAATGACTGTTATTGTCTTCAGATTAGCCATTAGTTGCAGTTCTAGCATCATAACAACGAGTCGCCTCATAATAAATCCACTCTTGTGTCAGTAAAAACTATACTAAATGTCTATAACTGATGCGAAAAGTTGAACAGACAACAGTCCTGGCAAAGCCAACAGCAACAATTTGCCACTAGAAATGAAGTACATCATCAACGGAAGCAGCAATAACCACCAAACAGCAGATGCACAAGTATTACTGCATAAGACATTACCATTAGTTATTTGACCGCCAGCCAGCCACCATTAAAAAAAAAAGTACAGTTCCAATACAAACTACCTTGGGCACAGACAAAAAGCACTTCACGTGAAATCCACAGCTCAGTGTCGCAATATGCACTCAACTTAGTAACTGGGTGACACAAACCACATATTTTATGTTAACATATTCGGAAAATACGTCAGCAAACCATGTCTAGAAGTTAATAAACTGTCCAAAGCTTTAATGGATGGCCTGCTTATCTGACAAACTGACCTGGAAGTCCACCCCCACCCCCACATTTGACCCACAAAAAAAAAACAGAAAATAAGATTGACAGACTAAAAAAGTCGAGAGACAAAAAACACATAAAATTCTGAAAAAAACTAGGGAAGATAAAACACACACATGCTACAATTAAACATGTTACCGTCGGCTGTGTGACTTGGAGCGGATGTCTCCTCAACTGTTCCCTGATGTACACGACTGTGCTGCCGATGTACCGCAGATGTTTGGAGGAATTTGCCAGGATAGCAGCAGCATCTGAGCAGCTGCAAGGAGAAACAGACACATCTGCAACTGTAACAAAAGCAAACCTGAGCTGCAACTGTAACAAAAGCAAACCTGAGCTGCAACTGTAACAAAAGCAAACCTGAGCTGTAACTGTACCAAAAGCAAACCTGAGCTGCAACTGCAACAAAAGCAAACCTGAGCTGCAACTGTACCAAAAGCAAACCTGAGCTGCAACTACAACAAAAGCAAACCTGAGCTGCAACTGTAACAAAAGCAAACCTGAGCTGCAACTGTAACAAAAGCAAACCTGAGCTGCAACTGTACCAAAAGCAAACCTGAGCTGCAACTACAACAAAAGCAAACCTGAGCTGCAACTGCTTAGTGACTAGATGCTCACCTGCTGATAGAGTGTTTTCAAAACTGACCTTGGCTTCCAAGTCGACCTCTAGACAAGGGAGATATTTTGCAGACTATGTATGAAAGAATGCTGATAGAAGACATGAGATCAAATAAGATAACATGTGTAAGAATGAGTGAACGAGGAATTAGGAGTGGATGAGGCAAGGAAGGACGTATGAGAGGAAAATATCCAAAGTACACTAACTACCCGGGATGTGTGAAGTAATGTTTGCCATTTTGCACGCAGCATACCTGTCTCCACCTTTTTCCTTATTTATTTCACTACTGAACTAGCAAACAACGACCAAAACAACCCCTCCCACACACACACAAAAATTACCATTGTTGTTTGTACTGATCACTTACATAGTGTGGTCGGGGGGGGGGGGTGGGGGGGGGGGGGTGTTTTTAGCCTGAGGATTTAGGAACTGATAGCTAGTAATGTTGCCACAGACTGTGTAGGTTTGGATTTTACCTGCCCCTGACAGAAAAAAAATCATCAAACTTACTGAGGATTTAAACCCGGGTCTCCCACATGACAGCCCTGCGTTCTTAACCCTTTGGCCAGCTGACATCACTAACAAACAATGATGTTTTATAATTACAGAAACAAGTCTATCAAATTGGAAGTAGCCAATTGCATTGATGTAAGCAAATTTTTTTCAATACTAGAACAATGATTTTACCGAATTTGCTTGTTGAAGTGAATGGATACAAGACTGCTCGGTTGCCAGTCTTTCTTGTGAAGTGCTTGAATGGCATCAAGTAACTTTTTCCGGGCTCCTATCTGATCTACACCTGCCTGTGTTTGGTCAGAAATAAAACAAATATAATTTCTCTGGTTTTTTTTCAAACAGTCAAAAATTAATTTGTAACAATACCGCTATTCTTCTTCTCTGCTTCAGCATTCCAATCCCTTGACCCTTGAGGTTGATTGCTGCTGATATCAATGATCTCCATACATCTCTGTGAATATTCTTTCCAGTTGGTAACCCCTAGTCTTAGTATGTCTGCCTGTGTATTACCTCTCCACCATCTTCTCGGTCTGCCTCACGGTCTACTCCTATCCAACTCTTTTGTGTATGCAGTTTATGACTTTCTGTTATCTGCCATTCTTGTCTATTACACTTGTTCTAGCAAGTTTAAAACAATTTAACTCTATTTGAATAGACCCACTACCTCCCTAACCCTTTACTGTGGCCTCTCGATTTGTTTCCAAGACCAATTACGGCCAGGAATGAAGTTCATCCTCTCCATAGCACAAAGCCTGGTTAGTATTGTAAAGACCATATGTTGCCATGCATCATGATCCCTCTCTCGACCTGCCTTGTTTGCTCCAAAGGAAGAGTAACACCAGCACATTTGGAACAAAGCAGGCTGCAGAAGCTGCTGGATAAGAAGAGCAGTGCTCTATCTGTCCGCCTGTCAGAGCTTCCCTCTTAGACCAGCTGCCAGCCGAGGCTAAGGGCCTGGTCTGCCCTGCCATAACATCAAGTTTAAAGGTTATATTTCCTCTTTCTAGGATAAGACTAATATCCTCCCCAATGCACTCCACCACCTCGCTAACAAGCATGTCATAAAAGGTGACTAATTAGGAATGTTTCCTTTGCAGCTGGAGTGCATCTGCCTGAGAGACAGGTCTGCCTCGTCTCCTTTTCCCCTTACCTAAGCTGTATGGAATCATTTTAGAGAGGCCGGTAGATCTTGTTACAATTCAACACAAATCAGTTTTCAATTTTAATCACTGTCACAAGTTTCATAGTTGCGATGTGTTGAGTGACAATAAGGTGAATCTCATCATTTGTCATGTTGTCTCTGTAAGATCTCACTTTCAATGCTTTTATTTTCCTTTCATTTGGGATGATGGTTATTTTTAATATGAGTTTCTACTGTGTGAGTTCCGGGCTTCCATGTTGGGGAGGGAGGAAAAGAATATCTCAGGGTCCGATAGCAAGTGAGTTGGCAAATTTCGTACCCTAACTGTAAATCGCAATAGAACATGCCAACCACCCTTTTGAAGACAAAAACAGAAGAAGATATGACTTTAATCTGAAGTTGGAGACTACATTTACCTTTTATATTTTATATTCATCATCATCAATCAGCAAGTCCTTTACAGAACGTCGCTCTTTTCACGGCACACCTGAAAGTATCCCCTTTTCTAGCCAACTCTCTCGGTCCCATGTGCTTTCAAAGCCAATGCTTCTTCAATGTCCTGTATCCATCTTTACAATGGTCGACCCCTGCCTTGCCTTCACAAACTGCACCTTCCATTACTGTCTTTTCCAAGCCACCATGGCGCTTGATGTGGCCAAAAAACTTCAACTTTTGGGACAGGATGCTGTTTATGTGCCAGCTCTTCCTGATATTCAACTCGTTTAGAATGTCTGTTTTTCCTCTTCTTGATCCATGGTATTTTAAGAATTTTTGTAAAAAATTTAAATTTAAAAGCTCCAATCTATTTTCCTCAGTGACTGAGAGAGAGTCCAGGACTCGCAACCGTAAGTTGCCACAGGAAAAATGCATGATTTCAAGATTTTTACTTTAACCAACTTCTAGCGTGTCATACATCAATTCACCAAGTGGCACAGAGCTGGCCAGTCTATCTGCCTGCTTTATTCCCCACACACCAGCATAACCCGGAGTAAATATCCAAAGGACGCTAAACACCCGGGACCTCTGAAGTGATGCTTGCCACTCTGCATTTATCATGCCTGTCTCCACCTTTCTTAACATACTCTGTGAGTCAATTACAATCACAGCATGTGTGTACAGCTGATTCTCAATACAAGTACTGGAACAATACTACAGTTTAGAAGTGGATGAACAACTAGAATTTTTCTGCTGGAGTTTACAACTGGAAGGTGAAGAAGAAGAAGATCCATTTTGCAATTATTCACAAAAAGTTGACTTACATTAATGAGGTCCTGCTCTGTAAGGGTCATCAACAGACTGAGATCAATGAGCTGCCGCTGAAACAGACCCACCAAATGCGACAGGTCAAGGCCATGCAGAAACACTTCCAGCTCGCCGTATCTTAAATCCGTAGTCCTGAGAGTTGCAATATCCAGTTGTCACATTATACAAACATTACAACAGCAACCCATGATAATAAATAATCATCATTCATGCAACATTTATAGCGTGGTCGGTCATGATAACTGGAATATGAGATTAGGACTGTGTTCTCGTTGAAATTTTATCATGTGGCATAGTCTTCCGAGTATGTGTATGTGTGTGTGTGTGCGCATGCTGGAGAGCAGTACAGCCTGAGTAACTTGCATCACTTGATAAGACTCAGATAAGAAGCACATTGTGGATTTCTGGGGCAGGAAATTCGGGTGTAGGTGGTTATGAGCACGCTGATGGATTAGTTGCTGTCACCCTTCGGGGTGATCAGCTACTTTACAATAAAGCTGATGTGGCGAAGAGTCTCTGAGATCAAGTAAAGAGTGCAGGAGAACAGCCCCAGAACCCATATCTGGAGGTGATGATTGAGTTGTGTGTGTGGGAGCAGAGGGCCTGAATGATTCTACTAAAAGAGACCCCCCAGGTCGCAACTGGCACCATCAGTACTGCAACTCTGCTGGCTACTGAAGAAAGGAACGGAGCATGTACGGGAATGTCCTTAGAATGGTGATGTAAATTCTTGATTGACTGATTCATTCATTCATTAAAGAGCTAGAAACTGGATAGTTTGGGCATATTTGTACCAGCTGCAATACAGAGACTCACTTCTTCAGCATTCTGAGCACTTGAGGTTCGTTACTGCCGATGTCTCCTGCCTCCATTCATCTCTCTTTTTGACCTTCTCTTTCCAGTTGGTGACACCAAGTGTTTGCAGATCTGTCTGGATATTATCTCTCCATGGTCTTCTTGGTCTGCCTCGTGGTCTACGACCATTCCTCTCCCTTTTCTTTACAGTTTTTACTTCTCTGTTATCTGACACTCTGTTATCTGATTCTTTCAACATGCCCCAACTATTTCAGTCTATTAGCTCTCATGATGCGTTATCAGTGGTGATTTAAACAGATTATGAAATGAATTTCATTGCTGCTTATCACTCTTCATTCACTGACAATTTTCATCTTTGATTAGTCCAAATATTCGTTGTAAGACTCTGTTTTCGAATACCTGTAATAAGGCTTCATCTCTTTTAGTTGTGTTTCAGGTTTCAGAGCCATATAACACGAATGGTCTAATCAACGCTTTATATATTTTGATCTTGGTGTTGCGAGACAGACACTTTTACTTATCAGATGTTGAAGGACATAGTTTACTTTATTTCCAGATTGTATTCTAGATTGTATTTCTTCTCTCAGCATGTTGGAGCAGTTGAAGTTTGCATCCAAGTACTTATATGTTTCCATTTGTTTGATTTTTATATTTTCGACTAGTATGTGGCTGGAGTTTATATCCTTTCCGTGTCTAGTTATTATCATGTATTCTGTACTGACTCAGAAAGCATGCTTAGAAAAGTCAGGACAGGCATGCTTCGTGCAGAGAGGCATGCTTCACATGGGTAAGGAGCACTATCTTGATTTTTTCACAGGGAGACGCCGGTGTGTTGGGAAATGAACAGGCGGACAGACTGGCTGGCTCTGCACAACTTGGTGGAACACTGATGCATGATAAGGCAGACGTGTTTAGTGCCTTGTGGGAGAGTGTGTACAGTTTGGACAAGCAGATGAATCACCAGTCTGGTGAGACTGATTCAGCGGGGAGTGACAAGAGGTTCTGGCAGATGCTCGAGGCTCAGAGGAAAGGCAAAACAGACGTTTAATCAGAATGCTACTAGCACCATTAGTATCGGAACTCTTCACTAGCTGCTGAGGATGGGGACGGAACGCTTATGGAAATGCCCCAAGTGCTGTGATATCAGTTCTTGAATCAAGTCAATTCAACTCAACCCAAAATGCTTCAATGAGATAAGGAAGAGAAGAAGAAAGTGCCACATGGTCAAAATCTATTATGAAACGGGTCTTACACGTTGTCTCCACAGACAACCAGTCCTGTCACAAAGATTCTTATAAAAGTATTCAGCTGCAATTTGCTGGGCAATCACAGAAAATATATGATGCAGACAATCAGATATCATCATCAACATCATTAGACCATCATTACATTGTGCAAGCATACATCACATAGTGCCTGCAGTCTAGTCTTCCATTCCAATCTTTCATGTGCAATCCTTTTGATATATATGCCTATTTATTTCCGTCTTCTTTGTCTTTCAACTGATGATACAAGCCATAGAATCAGATATAATGATTATCTTGCTGATTCTTTCTACACCACCAGACTTGAAACCATACATAGTGTATGTTGACCAACTTACTCTTACAATCACAGCCAAATGTGAGTTGAACAACACATACTGGTAAAACAGTAGGAACAACAAACACACAGATTTTATATATTGATATGCCATAGTAAAATATGCCAGTCAACTACAATGATGAAGAGACTGCTAACTCCATGAAACACTTTTCACACCAAACACTGACATTTACCTGGCACCATTGTCCTTCAAAAAAGTGCTTGTATCAGGCACTGGGCTTTTATATGAACACACTGTCCCATCTCCAGCCCCATCAGAAGTATTTGCGGGTCTGTGCTCCAAAAGGGCAAGCATCTAAACAATGAAACATATTGTACGTTAGTAAAGTAAGTAAAGCAAATAAGTTAAGGACTTTTTTCCTTAAGGCGTATTGGGTATATAGTGCTAGACCTAAATTTTATAAACCCATATCGGCACTCAGTGGGTAATGTGACCAAATCATGCTGGCCATCTTTACTTCCTAAGACTATAACTGGTACCCACTGAAGCCTGGGTCGACCTGGCAGTTTTGGTCATTTAAAAAAAAAAAAAAGTCTGGCTCTGGTTGGATCTGAACCCATGCCCTTTGGATCCACAGGAGAGAGTCTAGCCCCTAAATCACGGCAAACAGAATGCAAGAACAATACACTGATCAAGTCAAATGTTGATAGTATTACTTGCACATACAGAACATAAGACAAAGAAAAATGTTAAATACATCATGAGGAAAAGCGGACAGAGAATCCCCAACCCCCCAACCTTAAAAAAAAAGACACTGAAATGGGAAACAAATGCATTCAGGAAACAAAGAAACTCGAGAGAAACCTTAAGGACAAATGTCAATGAGAAAGACCCAAAGGTGTGGACTGGATTATATATATGACATCCACAGATTGACGGGAAAGGTACTAACAGACTGTGAGCCCTGAGCGATGCACACAAAATCACAACATGATAATAATGGCTTTCATGTACATTGATTTCTTCTTTTGTCCTACTGCTTATGCCACAAAGTGTCGCAGAGGAGTTATATGTAGTTTTCCTCTCTTAGTTGTGTAGCTTGTGTTATGTCATACTGCTTTTCTGTAGTGGCCTTTTTACTCCCTCCACCCATATTTTCTTGGTGGGCCTCTTGCCTTGTTGCTTGCTGTTCTCATGTAGTACACTGTAGCTGGCAGCTGATTTTCACTGTCAATTTTTATCATTATATTACATTTTGCTTGCTATGTTCTAACATTCTACTTCACTCTACTTGTTATATTCTAGTGTTACAAAATGTCATTTCTGTGGCTTGGAGCTTAGTGAATGTGTTTCATAGTCCTGAACCTACTAGTTAGAATTCCATATTTACTGATTTAGAAAAAGACCATGTCTATGCCTTCTCGATAGTAGTATGAAAATCACACAATGCAAGAGATTGAGACCCTACAAGATAATATCACCAATGATGGTAGATTCAGCCAACATCCACAAGGGAGACGGCATGAAATGTAATTTTATTGTTAACAGTCTCCAGAGGGCACTGCAGTGGAATCGGATAACTGGACATATTGGCAAGGGAAGACAATCTCGTGTCATCTAGAGTTTATACAAGGCACTTTTCAGGTGGATACATCTTTGATCAGGCCATGTCTTTGTAATAAATTCACCATGCAATGAGACAGCCAAAGCGGTAAAAGAAGACGTAGAGAAGAAGAAGTACTGGATATATTGGCAGGGGAAGACAATCTCGTGTCGTCTACTGTACAAGGCAATTTTCAAGTGGATACATCTTTGACCAGGCCATGTCTTTGTAATAAATGCCCCAGGCAATAAGACAGCCGAATAAAAAAAATATAAGAATCATAAAATACAGACTAGTGCCGTACTACATGTTGACTACACGAAGTTATTACATGTATATCCAACCAGTGTGCAATGGAGGCAGTTAGCATCCACACATTTCAACATCTTCTTCTTCTTCAGCATTTTGAGCCCTTGAGGTTCATTGCTGCAGATATCACTCGCCTCCATTTATCTCTCTGGTTGGCCCTCTCTTTCCTGTTGGTGACACCAAGTGTTTGCAGGTTTGTCTGGATATTATCTCTCCATAGTCTTCTTGGTCTGCCTCGTGGTCTACGACCATTCCTCTCCCTTGTGTATACAGTTTTCACTTCTCTGTCATCTGAAATTCTTTCAATATGCCCCAACCATTTCAGTCTATTAGCTCTCATGATGCCAGTTATCAACATCTGGAGCACTTTAATGCATGTTTTGAGTGTAGATAGTTCATGTCTGTTAATAAATAACCAAATCCTCATTATCTCATGGTCCCTTTACAAAATGTCACACCCATCACAGCTTGCTTGAACAGACCCAGTCCCTCACCAGCTCGTCCACCTCATGCATTTCCTGCCCATGGTGTCTCATGTCCTGTGCTGCCCTTCGGGCTGATCGGCTCCTTCCTTTCTTTTTTGATACCATGCTCTCCATTACTGTTCTTACCAAGCCACTATGATGCTTGATGTAGCCAAAGTATGTCAGTTTCCAAGACAAGATGCTGTTTACAAGCCACTTTTTCTTGATGTTCAAATCTTTTAGAATATCAATATTTGCTTCTTCTTAAAGTCCATGCCGTGTGGCGTTGGTAGTCATGTCTACCCACAACCTTCTGTCCCTTGTACTTTCTATCAACTCTGACACAGATGATCTACCATGCCATGCTTTTCCTCTTGGCCCAGGGTATTCTAAGAATCTTTCTGTAGCATTTCAGCTCAAAAGACCTGATTTATTTCCTTAAAAACTGTGAGACAGTCCAAGACTCAATCCACATTTTTCTTCAGGGAAGATGCATTGCTTCAATGAGGCTAAAAATGATCAAATAGCAACAACAACAAACAATCGTACACATAAAGAAACTTCATAAAGATACGAAATAAATAACACAATATAAACACCATTGAGACATTATAAAGCATCCAAAAATACAAAAAAAAGTGAACACTAGCCTCATCAGTGGGCATGTGTGCTGCCAGATCTTTGACTGTCAGTTTATCTGCATGTTGGATGTTAGCATCAGCTCCACAGTTCAGCAGCTCCATCATGACTGCCTTGGCAGCTCGCTGGGTGGCCCATGTCAATGCCTAGTGTGATGAAGAACAATACACAATGCCTAGTGTGATGACACAATGCCTAGTGTGATGAAGAACAATACACAATGCCTAGTGTGATGACACAATGCCTAGTGTGATGAAGAACAATACACAATGCCTAGTGTGATGAAAAACAATACACAATGCCTAGTGTGATGAAAAACAATACACAATGCCTATGAAAAACAATACACAATGCCTAGTGTGATGAAAAACAATACACAATGCCTAGTGTGATGAAAAACAATACACAATGCCTAGTGTGATGACACAATGCCTAGTGTGATGACACAATGCCTAGTGTGATGAAGAACAATACACAATGCCTAGTGTGATGACACAATGCCTAGTGTGATGAAGAACAATACACAATGCCTAGTGTGATGACACAATGCCTAGTGTGATGAAGAACAATACACAATGCCTAGTGTGATGAAGAACAATACACAGTGCCTAGTGTGATGAAGAACAATACACAATGCCTAGTGTGATGAAGAACAATGTACACAATGCCTAGTGTGATGAAGAACAATGTACACAATGCCTAGTGTGATGAAGAACAATACACAATGCCTAGTGTGATGAAGAACAATACACAATGCCTAGTGTGATGAAGCTAGTGTGATGAAACAAATACACAATGCCTAGTGTGATGAAGAACAATACACAATGCCTAGTGTGATGAAGAACAATACACAATGCCTAGTGTGATGAAGAAAAATACACAATGCCTAGTGTGATGAAGAACAATACACAATGCCTAGTGTGATGAAGAACAATACACAATGCCTAGTGTGATGAAGAACAATACACAATGCCTAGTGTGATGAAGAACAATACACAATGCCTAGTGTGATGAAGAACAATGTACACAATGCCTAGTGTGATGAAGAACAATACACAATGCCTAGTGTGATGAAGAACAAAACACAATCACTGAGATCATTCAGAGAAGTTACTCACACTCAAGCCACAAGAAAACATTGACAGGTCCTAGAAAAATATAAACGCAAAAATTGCAACATGTGAGATGAGGTGTATAAGAAATGCAGTGTGAAAAACTAGAAAAGACCAACAAAGTCACCATCAAAGAAATATGAACAATGGTAGGCATTGTACCAAGGAATATGGCTTCTCAGTCACACTGGGAAAATGTATGCTAAGATCATTGAAAGAAGGCTAAGACCAATGATAGAGTATCAACTTTCAGAAGCACAAATGGGCTTTCGACGAAACAGAAGTTGCACAGATGCTATTTATACATTGAGACAACTATCAGAGAGGGCAATAGAACATGATCAGACCTGTCAGTTGACATTCATAGACCAGCAAAAAGCCTTCGACAGAGTTGACAGGAATATGATGTGGGAATGTATGGGAAAAAGGGAATCAGCAATCATCTCATTAATATTTGCAAAAGCCTGTACACATTTAGTAAATGCTGCATAAGATCGAAGGAAGATTGTCAACAACTTCTATATTTAACTTTGGTGTGCGTCATGGCTGTGTACTATCGCCACTTCTTTTTATAACATACATGGATACTATATGTAAGGAAATGAACTTTAATCATAAAGAAAACATTACAGAATTACTATTCGCCCATGACCAGGTACTCACAGTAGAAATTAGGGAATGCCTACACCACCTAAATCAAATTAATAACAAAGGGGAAGAATATAATATGAAAACAGCCTAACAGAAATGAACATCAATTTTAATAGTGCTTTTGACAGAGCTCATCAACAAATGTTACATCTCCCCCTGACACTTCCCTGAGGTACAAGGTGGAAGAGGAGAAGAAGAAGAAGTACCAATGAACTATTTCACAGAATATCAAAGAAGGAAATGGTTTGGTCAACTGGACAGAATGGAACAAAATCAGCCAGCAGCTAGAGCATACTAAATGAGAACAGCAGGCTACGAGGCAAGAGGTCGACCAAAAAAGAGATGGGTGGAGGGAGCAATAGAAACACAATATGACAAGTTAAGCAACTAGCAAAAGATGGGAAACTATACCTTACTCCTGTTTGTGAGGAGTATGGCCTAAGCAGGAGGACAGAAGAAGAAGAAGAAGAAAACAAGAGGTCACTTTTTTGTCTTCTTCTGTTTGGTGAACCCAACTGGAACACACATCCTCAACCAACTTGTACAAAAGTCATCCTATCCTTTGTAATCAATTGCAGTCAACACATCTGTTTCCCATTTTTTTTCAAATAATAAAAAATAAAAAAACTTATTCTCTAATTCTTTAATCTGAGTGTTTTTGGGTCTGCCTTTATCTCTTTTGTCCTGTTAGTTAGAATGCAATGACATTGTATTATTATCAGATTTTCTCAATATGTGTCCCATCCAATGTCAGCAGTTTTTAAAAATCCCCTCTTGATTAACTGTAATCTGTATCTAGGTGAGTAGTTAGTGCACTGGGCTCTCATGCAAGAGACCCGGGTTCAGCCCTTAGCAATGCCGAACAGAAATCTGTTTATTTTGAGGGTAAAAATAACAATCCTAACCTGCACAGTTCGTGGTAACTACACAAGCCATGCACCCTTGAATCCTTAGGCTTGCTCCCCCTCCCCCCCAGTACCTTTTATTACAATTCAGATTTCTGACACAGTCTAAGTTCTATTCCATGAATTCTTTGGAATACTGGATTTTTTCTTGAGAAATGTAATCATCATCAGCGTCCTACCAACTGATGTGGGCAATCAAGCTTCCCCACATCCTGTGATCCCTAACAGAATGCAGGGGTTGATAACTTTTCATCTCAAGACAGAAGGCTTCTACAATGATGCCATGGCCTCTCTTTTTACACTACAGTAGAACATCGCTTAACGAGCACCTCTCATAACGAGTAATTCGCATAACGAGCAAAACAAATTGTAAAAGAATGACTTGCTTAACGAGTGACGTTTCGCATAACGAGTGGCAAGAAGGGGGGAAGTCCCGGATTGTGCGCATGTTACATCAGTCTCTGTTTAGCGCTCGTTCCAGTAGCAACGTAGTGTCACTTGTGATCACTCATTTTATCAAACTTGTGTTATATACATGAATCCTCCAGGCCTACAAGATGACCTCCCTGAAGAATTTAAGTTCATCAAGATCCAGTTTCTGCCTCCCAACACCACTCAGTTACTCCAGCCCATGGACCAGCAAGTTATTTATAACTTTAAGAAGCTCTACACTAAAGCACTCTTCGAGCATTGTTTTCAGGTGACTGAAGAGACCAACCTAACTCTCAAAGAGTTTTGGAAAAATCACTTCCACATCGTTGCCTGCTTCAAGATGATCGACAAGGCGGGGGAAAGGGTTACCAAGAGAACCCAAACTTCTGCTTTGAAGAGGCTTTGACCAGAGAGCGTTGTCGAATGTAACTTTGAAGGTTTCGAGACAGTACCTGTGAAATCTGTGTCTTTGGAAACTATCATGGGAATGTAGGTGGGTAACAGTGATATCGAAGAGCTGACCACATAAGAGCTTATGAAGTTGCATTGTGTTTCACAGCAATAAGTTTTGGAGGAAAGTTTGTCAGAGGAGGAGGAAGAGGTAACAGAAAAGCAACAATCTTCTGGTGAAATAAGAGAAATGCTAAAAGCATGGGAAACTGTTGCATCTTACATTGAGAAGCATCACCCTAATAAGGAAGTGGCAAATTTATTTAATGATAATTCTGTGTTGAATTTCTGTCAAATTTGAAGCGTCGGCAAAAACAAATGTCTCTGGACATCTTTCTATTAAAAAATAATTAGCTATGTATTATAATTATTTCAACTTTTTTGTTTTTTGTTTGAATCAAATTCGCATTCCAGGTGGGTTCGTTCTGAGGTGAAAGAAAAGTTAATTAGGATTCACTCGCCTTAACAATATGTATATAATTTTCTTTGAATAAATGTTTTACATAACATTTTGTGAGTAGTTTTTTTGGGGGGACATGGAATGCATTATCGTATTTCACATTAATATATATGAGAAAAATTGTTTCGCATAACGAGTGTTTCGCTTTACAAGTATGATTCTGGAACAAATTATGCTCTTTAAGTGAGGTTCCACTGTATTAAACTTTTCACAACATTAACTTAATCTTCTACAATATAATTTGAAATTAAAACAGTTAATGAGTCAATCTTTTCAGTAATGTTTAAGGTAAGTGAGGTTCCACTATATTAAACTTTTCACAACATTAACTTAATCTTCTACAATATAATTTGCAATTAAACAGTTAATGAGTCAATCTTTTCAGTAATGTTTAAGGTAAGTGAGGTTCCACTATATTAAACTTTTCACAACATTAACTTAATCTTCTACAATATAATTTGCAATTAAACAGTTAATGAGTCAATCTTTTCAGTAATGTTTAAGGTAAGTGAGGTTCCACTATATTAAACTTTTCACAACATTAACTTAATCTTCTACAATATAATTTGCAATTAAACAGTTAATGAGTCAATCTTTTCAGTAATGTTTAAGGGCAGCAGGAGGAGATTACAAGAGACAATGTTTGACATTAAGGCAAGAAGAGTCATCTTAAGTACGGCATGGACAGAGATCTGTGTCAAAAATGACGGGAGGTACACATGACACAAAACTGTTGACACACATGATAACAATCAATCTGGGGCTCATTTGGGTACAGATTTGACATCATAACATTTAGGACAAGCCCATATTGGTTCCATCTGCCTCCTCGACAGCCAGCAGAGCCTCCATACTGATAATTACCTGATGTCATCTGGTGAACTACTCATCCTGCCTCCCTTTATTCACCCAGGCATCAAGTGGTGCCCAGAGCCTGCAGACACCCCCTGCTGCAATATTATTTCCAGATGCTGGTCTTCAGTACCCACTCAGAGTTGTATGGAACTAAAAGGGAACTCCTAAAAACAGTCGAGTTTATCAAAAGAACTTGATTGTTAGTGTAAATCAGAAAGCAAACACAAGAAGAAGAAGAAGTATCCTCCATTTTACTTGTTATACTCGCCCCCACCGAAGATCAATGCCACCTGTTTAGGGTGCAGAGGTGTTGAAGATGGTGGTGTACCAGGACTATGGAGGGCTCACAATGGTCTAGACCTATCTACACCTCTTCGCAGTCCCTCAGTCTAAGAGACAGGTTCCAGGTGTTGAACCATACATGGTGGTGTACCAGGACTATGGAGGGCTCACAATGGTCTAGGCCTATCTACACATCTTCGCAGTCCCTCAGTCTAAGAGACAGGTTCCAGGTGTTGAACCATACATGGTGGTGTACCAGGACTATGGAGGGCTCACAATGGTCTAGACCTATCTACACCTCTTCGCAGTCACTCAGTCTAAGGGACAGGTTCCCAGAGTATACATGTGACATGGTGGTGTACCAGTACTAGGTAATGCTCTCTATGGTATAGACGTATCCAAACCTCTTTGCAGTCACTCAGTCCAAGAGACAGGTTCCAGGTGTTGAACCATACATGGTGGTGTACTAGGACCAGGCTCACAATGGTCTGAACCTATCTACACATCTTTGCAGTCACTCAGTCTAAGAGACAGGTTCCAGGTGTTGAACCATACATGGTGGTGTACTAGGACCAGGCCCACAATGGTCTAGGCCTATCTACACATCTTTGCAGTCACTCAGTCCAAGAGACAGGTTCCAGGTGTTGAACCATACATGGTGGTGTACTAGGACCAGGCCCACAATGGTCTAGGCCTATCTACACATCTTTGCAGTCACTCAGTCCAAGAGACAGGTTCCAGGTGTTGAACCATACATGGTGGTGTACTAGAACCAGGCTCACAATGGTCTGAACCTATCTACACATCTTTTTTGTCACTCAGTCCAAGAGACAGGTTCCCTACCAGGGCCCTGGCTAGTTACAGATAAGACTGATGTTTCTTTTAAAGTTGAAGCGTATCTGCCTGACAGATGAGAAACCAACAGTTTGTACACACTAAACCAGATTTTAAACTGAATGGGCACCCAACACTCAAGTGCTGGAACAAGACCAAAGTCCAGAAGAGGGCAATCAACTATGACCTTCTGTCACAGTTTCCAAGAAGAGCAGAATAACAAACACATGGAATGGATGTTAAGAAGAAAAACATGAATGCTTAACTTGAACTTTCTTTTTCAGCTCACTGCTGCAGAAATCATCAATCTCCATTCATCTTTAACTTGAACTATTTAAATTAAATAAATGCTTACTGTCCAGCCACGGCTGTCCTGTCTGTTGACCTCAGCACCATGCTTGATGAGCTCCTTGACCACCGACACGTGGCCATCTCTGCTGGCCAGCATTAGGGCAGTTGTGTGAAACCTGGTCAACAATGACGTTATGAATGATCCCAACAACAGATTTTAGACACACTGGAAACAAATGATGTTACACAATAATATCTAAACAGTGACGTTTCTCATTTGGTTTTCTGCATGCTAACTGGATCAATATATCGGAAGGCCAATGCTGCAATAAAGACTCATGAGAACATTACGTGTGTTACGGGTGTGTTTTGTATGTTGTTGATGTCATGGATGTTACCTTGCATGAGTCATGGCCAACCTGTAGAGACAACTCCATGACAGCTTCTACACATCACCACTTAATAGAAGATAGGTAGCTGAGTTAGGGCGCACTAGGTTGTTTGATGTGTTGTGATGTGGTTTGAGGCTATAACTGACTCTTTCAAACCATATTTTTCTAGGTCTCCCTTTACCTCTTAGTGTATCCAGTCTCATGTTGTAAGCATGCTGTCAGCATCACTGGATTTATTCTTACCAGGTGGCCAAACCATTTGGGTCTCTGTTTCTCAATGAATTTAACAATGGGCATTGTTCCATAGTTTATTTTTAAATCTCTTCATTTCTTACATGATCTATTCTGGGTTTTTTCTTCGTAGCCTTTCTGAAGCATATGACTTCATTGGTGGTTAGCTTTCTCTCTCATTTTCTTCATTTAATCTCCAAGTTTGAAAGTGGTAACCTTAAGTGGGAATAAATATTGTATTTATAATTTGTCTTTTTATCACTACCGTAACAGCTGGGTGTTGCAAGATGGATGTTTCTATCTCTCTAATCTACCATTAGGTATAAAGATGGTACCAAAGTATATAAATTCTTGCACTTGTTTCAAATGTTGGCCTTTTATCTTTATTTTGATGGCTAGTTGTTTTTCTATGTTGCCCTGTAGCTGTTTTAAAAGGCACTGGTCGTCAGCAGTGAACAGCTCACTGAAGACTTCTCATTCAGTGACACCTGGTAGTACTGTGTCTATTTTGTCAATACTGCCCATGTAAAGGATAAAAAGCAAAGGTGATAGAAGAACGCACCCATGTCTTACTTCTGATTTTACTTGGAACCAATCTGTTACAAGCTCTAGTTGATGTTTCACTACTCTATAGATGGCTCTTATATAATTTAACAGTGTTTTCCTTTATTCTGTAGTTTTCAAGGACTGCTGAAAGTAAATCTCAGTCACTACTACTGACTGTGTAAATGAGACAATGGGTTATTGTATCTTTGACACCATCTTTTACTACATTTTTTGCACCTTTTGACCCAACATATCCAACATCTACAAACCCTGAAGAGCACTAGAACAGAAAATAACTACCTGTGAAATGCACTATCTCCATAAGGTCAATAACAACACAAGAAAGGACAGAGTTACGAATGCCAGCATTAGAGAGAAAGTTGGAATAAGCCAGTGTGTCATTTATCCTGACAGACAAAGAATGAAACAGTTTATCCATCTAGTGGGAATACGATCAGACTAAACTGCATATGAGACTTTGTTACAGTAGAACATATGGGAGGTAGGTGTAGGTAAGTCCAAGAAAGAAAGAACTGAATAAATGGTATCGTTGAAAACTGTAAAAAAGATTAACAAAATCCACCAGCCAAGCCACCCAAGAAATGCAAGACAAATACAGAAAAACCATGACACTGGGCTATACCTTGGTATCAGTGAGGCGACTAAAGGAGAAGAAAAAAACAACCTTTAATTTGGTGCCCTTTACGACACATTTATTTTTGTGTCAGTGGGTCTATTCTCCCTCAAAATGGAGCCCAGAAACTCACATAGAGATCAAAGAGCATCAAAACGAAAAATGACCTGTCTTTGGCATTAACATCTGCTCCAGATTCAGTTAGGATCTGGACACATTTGGTAATTTCCTCCTCACTGTGAGAGCTTGCAGAACAGGCACACATAAGTGCTGTAAACATGTCTGAAAGAGAACAACAGGAACGTAATCAAGAAACAGGGACAATGTCAAAACCATATCAACATGATGATAGTGTCACAAATATAAGTGGGACAATAATTCTGCCTAGTAAATCGAGTCTAGAATTAATTACTTTCTAATGTTGAATGTCAAATTAGGTATCTGGTTTGGGTCAAGATGGTGGAACGTGTTTCCTTCTAGCTTTGCTTAAGACTGTTGATCGACAAGCCGACCAGTCGCCATTATAAAACATCTTTTGTTTTAGTATCAGATTTCTAGCTCTAAATGTTATGATGCTCCATTCAAACCTGTTACTCTACAAAGAACCAATATCAGGGAAGGCTCAACCATGGGCCTAACAAACATCCAAGACCTAAAGCAGGTGGCAACAAACCATCAGACATGGAGAGCTATGACCTTTGCCCTAGGCGACACCCTAGGCTTAAGAGGAAGGACTAATTAAATGTGAAATGTAGACCGTTAATAACAAGCTCAAAATTCTAACAATGGGGATGAGATGTCTAAGAAGAGCTGCCACAAGATACAATTAAAAATGAAGAAATTAGAACAAGACTAGGATTGAAATCGTACATTAAGTTCACTAAAAGGCAACAGATGATATGGTTTGGCCATCTTATGAGAACGCCACAAACAGGCATGCTGAAGAAATATAATAAACACTCAGAAAGAGGAAGACTTGCAAAATATGGAATGATGGCATCAATAACAGCCTCAAAGAAATGAACACCAGCATATGCAATGTATCAGAAGGAGCAAACAGTAGATCTTTACATTCCCCTCCAATGAGGTAACCGAAGGAAGAGAAGAAGAAAGTTATCATGTGACACAAAATAATGGGAAACATATATTTGAAGCAAGAATATGTACAAAGGAAGACCTTGTGAATTCATGATATTTCAATGAGGAGTTACAAAAGGATGATTATTAACTGAACTTTTTAACATTTACATTGAACCAGTGCTCAGCAACATTAAAAACCTTAAGGAATTTAAAGTCGGAAAACAAAATAAAAACATTCTGAGACATTCAGGGCATCCCTTCAACAGTAGAGACTAAAAGTATCTGCAAAATTCCAAGACAGCTAGTATAGGAGAGGAAGAAAAGGGGAGATTAGTTAACCAGCAAAACTGAACGGATGCAAGTTAGCACACATTTTCACTCATACATGGTACATGTATGCAAATCAGGCAATATCTTACATATATGGGCTACAAGTTATACATTACAGAAAATGTGATGGAGAGATAAAGATAACAATTATCATACATAAGTATTTTTTTAAACTCATCATCGTCATCATGTACCTGGTCCTTTGCAGAACCACGCTCTCATCACAGACTGCCTGAAAGAAACTTGGTCTCTCGTCAGCTCTCTCACCTTGTGCACCTTCATTCCTAAGGTGTCACTTATATCCTGTGCCCATCTTCGTGCTGATCAGCCCCTGCCCCCTTTTTTCCTGGCACAATGCCTTCTGCTTCTATTCTTTCCAATCGGCCGTAGTGCTTCAATTCTCTTTAAGCCTAGTGGCACACGGGGCTTCAGAGAGAACTTTTCATGCAATCATCAGTGCAGTTTTCCATGTTAGGGATGCAGCACTCAGTTCACTTTCCATCGTCTGTCTCCATGTTGTTTTTGGGTGTCCCTTCTTCTTCCTTCACTCGGGTGTCCAAGTGAGAGCTGTTTTGGCAGGTATATCAGGATTCATTCCCATAATATGGCAAAGCCATTTCCATCTTTTCTTTCTTATCATACTGATATCCGTACCACTTGACATGGTCAAAATTTCAGTTTCCAATACAACAGGATGCTGTTTACCAGCCAGTCTTCCTTGACGTTCAGATCTCTTAGAATATCAGTACAGTAGAACCTCGCTTAACGAGCACCTCTCATAACGAGTAATTCACATAACGAGCAAAACAAATTGTAAAAAAATGACTTGCTTAACGATCGACGTTTCGCATAACGAGTGGCGAGGAGAGGGAAAGTCCCAAATTGTGCGCATGTCTGTGTTTAGCACTTGTTCTAGTAGCATCGTAGTGTCGCTTGTGATCACACATTTTCTCAAATTGTGATATATATATATATATATATATACATGAATCCTCCAGGCCTACAAGATGACCTCTCTGAAGAATTTAAGTTTATCAAGATCCAATTTCTGCCTCCCAACACCACTCCGTTACTCCAGCCCATGGACCAGCAAGTTATTTATAACTTTAAGAAGCTCTACACTAAAGCACTCTTCGAGCATTGTTTTCAGGTGACTGAGGGTACCAACCTGACTCTCAGTTTTAGAGAAAAATCACGTCCACATCGTTGCCTGCCTCAAGATGATCGAAAAGGCGGGGGAAGGGGTTACCAAGAGAACCCTAACTTCTGCTTGGAAGAAGCTTTGGCCGGAAAGTGTTGTCTATTTGTAACTTTGAAGGGTTCGAGACAGTACCTGTGAAACCTGTAGTCAACGAGATCGTGTCTTTGGCCACTATCATGGGATTGTAGGTGGATAACAGTGATATCAAAGAGCTTGTGGAAGATCACAGTCTAGAGCTGCGTTTTGGAGGAAAGTTTGTCAGAGGAGGAGGTAACAGAAAAGCAACAATTTTCTGGCGAAATAAGAGAAATGCTGAAAGCATGGCAAACTGTTGCATCTTACATTGAGAAGCATCGCCCTAATAAGGAAATGGCTATGCGCTCGCAAATTTATTTAATGATAATGCTGTGTCACGTTTTCGCCAAATTTTGAAGCATCGGCAAAAACAAATCTCTGGACATCTTTCTAGTAAAAAAAAAAAAAAAAAAATTAGCTATGTATCATAATTATTTCAACTTTTTTTTCTGCAAATCGAATTCGCATTTCATGTGGGTTCGTTACGCGTTTGAAGAAAAGATGAAGGTGATCCACTCTCCTTAACAATATGTATATAATTTTCTTTGAAAAACGTTATACGTAGCATTTTATGAGTATCTTTTTTGACATGGAACGCATTATCATATTTTACATTAATTTATATGAGAAAAATGGTTTCACATAACGAGTGTTTCGCATAACGAGTATGATTCTGGAACGAATTATGCTCATTAAGCGAGGTTCCACTGTATTTCTTTCCCTTTTGGTTCATTGTTTTCTGAAAATCTTTCTCAGCATTTCAGCTCAAGAGCCGCTATTTTCTTCCTTAATGACTGTGAGATAAACCCTGACTCATGTCCATCTGTTGCAACAGGGAAGATGCATGCCTTCAAAACTCTGACCTTGATTCCTTTGCTTGTACTTAACCACACTTTGAAAACTATAATTAATATAATAAAATTTAAAAATTAAGGACCTTTCTCCTTGGGGTATTATGGACATATGATGCAAGTCCTCTAATCTCTATAGACCAACTTGGAGATATAATGTGCTTATATCTTTTTGTCATCACATGGTTATTTAGTTGAAGTCCGGTATCATGATTTTTTGTATTTGTATTGTGCATCTCAGATGGTTTGAGTGATGATTTTGTTCACTTTTGTTTTTGTTGCCATTTTCAGCTACATCATCTATCCAACTCTTCTTTGGTCTTCCTCTTACCTTCCTCCCAGATGTTCTGCTGCAGAAGCTCTCTCACAGTTTGGTCTGGTTGCATTCTTTCTACATGACCAAACCATTTCATTCTTTGTCTTCAATGTTATTCAGGCAGTTATGTTCCAAAGTTTTATCTAATGCTGGCATTTGTGATCCAGTCCTATATTATATTGTTGGTGACCTTTCAAAGACATTGGATTTCACAGGTGGCTATTTTTGTGGTTAACATCACACAACATTTCTTGATACCTATTTTCGGTTCTTAATTTATAACGTACCCCAAACACGAAATTCCCGTGGGAAATCCACAGCTGACCTGACAGTCCATTATTTCAAGGGGTGCAAGTGTGCTGTTGTGTGGTGCTGTTTTTGAGTGTTCATCTAGTGTATTATAACCCTAACCCTAAACTTGGATGTAGATAAATCGCGAGAAACTACAACCTGAAAACCCTAGAATTTCCTGGGAATGTCTCCTGTGACGTAGTCGTGACGTCAGGGGTAAGTTATAAATTAAGTACCCTATTTTCAAGCTGGGTCAACCTCGGAGTGCAGGTGAATTTTAAGATGCTATAAATGTTGAAAGGCAAGCTGCAGTGGTGAAGCAGCTACACACTCGCCTGCGGATCAGAAGGTTGTGAGTTCAGGTCCTAAAAGAGCCAGATTTTTCAAAAATGACCTTGACTCCAGGTCAACCCAGCCTTGAATGGGTACCAGGTAGGGTCATGGGAAGCACCACCCACCAAGTTCAGATTGGTCTATAAAATATAGGTCTAGCTCTTAATGTATCCATACGCCTCAACGCATGGAAAAAGGGTTCTTTTGAAAACTTTAGGGCTCTGCCATGACCCGAACTCACGACCTTCAAATCTGCAGGTAAGCCTCTACACTACAGCAGCTTCCTGTGGATCAGATTAAAAAAATGATATTATTGTTAGCTTTCACCAAAGTGAAATGTTCTGACCAAAAATGATAACCACCATCAGTCAGTGCTCCACAGATAACAAAATAATAAAGCTTTAGATACAACAGAACAAAACAAAACACACTTCTTGTAAAAGATAAATGACATAGTGAATGAAAAGAAAATGGAAATATTTGAGGCATACACCAGAATTTGTTCCAGAACTATCTTTTATGCTGATACTGACAAAATCAATGACATAGTGGAGGAAATACTGGATGTAAATTGGCCTAGAAAAACCACACAACAGTGACGGGCTGTTAGGGTTGGTTCTGCGACGTCCTGTAAAGGATACGCAACTAACCTAGTGGAGGAAATGAAAATGGAGAGATTTGAGGCATACACCAGAACTTGTTCCAGAACTTTCTTTTATGTTGATGCTGACAAGCATAAAGAAAAAGAGAAGAAGAAAAATATCTGAGGGAGAAGACATACATGCATCTTCAGTAGGCCCCTTTTTTTTCCATACTACAAAGTTTTACATGATCACAGCTGTATCATTTGGCTTGTACTGCGTCTATTTATAGGTAACAATTTTAACCCTTACCACAGTGACAGTTAGGATTAGCTCCCCTGCTGAGTAGTAACTGAACTAGGTCAGGTCGCCCATAATTTGCAGCATACATTAGAACAGTCCAACCACAGTGCAAAAGTGTGTCCACATCTAGACCTGAGAAGGTAATTTCAAGGGTTTTATTAAACCATTTAATGTTTTCAGTTCGAAGAAAATATAACATTATTTGTAAGAAAAGGGAAGCATAATACTGAGTGTGTAATATTTTTTTTTTAAATGGACCTCCAAAATGCAACATCAAAGTAAACGGGATAATTCTAAAGCAAGTTTTACATTTTAGTACTTGGGTACCCTGATAACAGCAGACTGAAAACAAAAACTAGGTCAGGTCACTCATAATTTGCAGCTAACATTAAAACGGTCCAACCACAGTGCAAAGGTGTGATCACATCTAGACCTGAGAAGCTAATTTCAATATTAATTGTGTCATATTTTTGTAAATGGACTCCCAAAATGCAACATCAAAGTATATAGGACAATTCTGAAGCAAGTACTGGGTACCCTGATAAAAGCAGATGGAAAATGTATTAAAAGAGCAATAAAGATGTTTGGAAAGAAACTGATTTACGAAGACAGCTGACTGTCCACATCATTCTTTGGCCATGTCAGGAGAAGGAGAAAACTGGAGCAGATATCACTACCAATGCCACAGAGAACAGACTACAAGAACAAGAAAAAATGATAGAAATGCTTATGCCAAAATGTGCATTTTATTGGAATGTTGACATATGGCATTAAATTATTTAAACCATGAATGCCATGTACCTCTAAAGGAAGAGGGGAAGAGAGAGAGAGAGAGAGAGAGAGAGAGAGAGAGAGAGAGAGAGAGAGAGAGAGAGAGAGAGAGAGAGAGAGAGAGAGAAAGAGAGAAAGAGAGAGAGACAGACAGAGAGAATTGGGTCATGTTATTTAAAATTTATGATTCTTCCCATAATTTTTTTTTCATCTAATGCAAATATCCGCTTGTAACCACACACGAAAAATAGAACCTAGCTTGTGATTATTTACCTAAAATTACCCCATCATCATATGGCAGGTTTTTTTTATACAGAACATCACTCTCTCACATCAACATCATCATGTGCCCTGCCAACTGGCGAAGGGGCTCATGCGTCTCCACAGATCATGATCCCTGGTTGCCTGGAACAGCTCTCTTGATGAAATCCCTCCATGCCATCGATTCAGCCCATCCAGCATCATTTCTCTTGGTCTGCCTCTACTCCTTTTTCCAAAGAACAGTGTTTGTCTCTATCTTATTGTTGTATCTAGAGATCTACTTTCATTAGCTTTCTCTCACAGTCCGCATGAAAGAAACGTAGTCCCACCTTAAGCATGCTCATGTCTCTTATGTCCTTTCTCTATCTTCTTCATACTGGCTGCCCCCTGCTTCTCATGCTTGATACCATGCACGATGCTACTTTTCTGTCCCATCATGTGTTTAAGGTTGTATATGGCCAAAATATTTCAGTTTCTGAGACAATTTGCTGTTTACCAGACAATTTTCCTTGACACTGAGATCTTTAACGATGTCAATATCTGTTTTCTACTCGGTCCATGGTATTCTGAAAATCAATATTTTTCAAAAATAACATTTCAGCTCAAAAACACAAATTTTCTTCTTTAATAATTGCAATATAATCCACGACTCACATATTTGTAAGTTGTTACAGGAAAGATGCATGCTCTAAAAATTATGACTTTGATTTGCTTGCTGGTGCTTAGCCACAGAATTTTAATGCTGTTTAATCTTAAAATCGCTCCATACTTTCTTCTATCTGAATAATATGATACTATGCTTATCCTCACTGAAATCTTAAAGCATTTTTCTTCTTGATGGCTCCTTGTCAAACCATACCAAAGAAGAATCTTGAAATCGTAACTACAGCTTCTGATTGTTGTGCTGTCTGTCCAATTTCTCCTTATTTCCTCTGTTTCTATAAAAGTGTCAATCCATATGGGTAAATTTATTTGTCAGGACATTTTAGTGACCTATGGAGCTCCCCTGCAATTGATATTTATGCATATTACCAAAAGAGCTTCTCCAGATACCCTTGTGAGTATTTCAACACTTGGAATTCACACTTTTCAGATTTACAATAACTGTTATTGCGTGCACAACATACATCCCAGGAAGGTGTCACCATGTATCACTTAGTCTCAGTTCCTGCTTGTGTCTGACATCAGCCATGCTGATCAACCTTTCCTGTCTGGGTCACCAACAGAATGGCGCATCTAAGGTGGTGGTTTTCAACCCTCTTAAGGTAGTGTCTCCCTTGAATTTATGGCAAGACCCCCATGTCCCCTCTACTTAGAAACAAAAGTCACACAGAAAGTATGGAGATAGTTCTGGTCTGAATGTGTTTTTAATCTATAATATACACATGTATTCTCCAAATAATTAGATTTTTAACTGCAGATGTACAAACTTCTAATACAAAACAGGAATGTCTGAGATTTTGGTTTTGTAAATAGTTTTAACAAGTATTGGATTTATAATTTAACTGAGAAAACGGGTTGACAAAACAGATTATTACAAGTACAAATGCACCTAACTGCCCCCCCCCCCCTTTTCCGTTGAAAATACTGATATAATTAAGGTCACTACTGCTCCAACACAGCTTGTCTTGCAATGCAGCTTGGGGGAATCTGCAACCTCTACAGACAATATACAGGACAGTCCTGCAATATAGGCCCAGGAGTCTTTATCTCAGCAAATTGCTTAAACTCCATTTGATTAGAACAACTTTTAACACTTGAAAAAAAAAAAAAGAGAGAGAGAGAGAGAGAGAGAGAGAGAGAGAGAGAGAGAGAGAGAGAGAGAGAGAGAGAGAAAGAGAGAGAGAGAGAGAGAAAGAGAGAGAGAGAGTGAGAGAGCAAGAGAGAAAGAAAGAGTTGTCTGACTCTTATTTGATTAGTTCATTAGTCAAACCATTAGTATCAGAACTCTTTACTGGCTGCTGAAGATGGGGATGGAGCGCTTATGGGAATGCCCCAAGTGCTGTGATGTCGGTTCTTGCATCAACTCAACTCGACAGATTATCTTCATCGCACATCAAACCATTCAGTCCATAAGTGCTCAGATCCCCTCTTCAGCATCTCCCTCAGCAATCAGTGGCTTATGATCCCATACTGTCTGACTCTTATAATATATGAAATGGACAGATGCTGCAATCACCTTGTCTGAGGGACTTCTCAACAAGTTCCATGTTGCCTTTAATTACTGCTGTCTTGAAATCATCCATGGTCAGAATGTCTGTACGGTGATACCTGGGTGGTGCAGACTTAGTTGCAAATGTCTGTTTTCTGAAGCCTTTGTTTGATCTGTGAGAAGCAAAACGGACAATAAAGATAAAGTATTGTAATCACGATTAGTATTCATATGTCACTAACATGTGGCAGATGACTGAACCATTTGATTCTTTTGTGAAATCATTCACCGGTACTGTATCTAACCACTGTTGTTAGTTTTTTTTAATGACTGTTTCCTCTTGTTTTTCCTGCCACATTTCTTACACATCTCGCCTCACATGTAATGTTGCATTTATACTAGGGCTGTACCGAATAGTGATTTTCACTATTCGGCCGAATACGAATAGCAGGACTAACTACTCGTCCGAATACGAATAGTGTATAGTGTATAAAATATATCTGAAAAACGTCCATTTATAATGTCAAATGTACGCTGAACTTTTACTTCACATAAAGTAGCACAGAATAGTCATCTTCTTCTTTAGCATTCTGAACCCTTGAGGTTTACTGCTGCAGATATCACTTGTCTCCATTCATCTCTCTGGCTATTATATATTTTGATTTTGGTGTTGCGAGACAGACACTTTGACTTAAGGAGATGTTGAAGGGCATAGTACACTTTATTTCTAGATTGTATTTTAGATTGTATTTCTTCTCTCAGCATGTTGGAACAGTTGAAGTTTGCACCCAATTACTTATATGTTTCCGTTCGTTTGATTTTCATATTATCAACTTGTATGTGGCCGGAGTTTATATTCTTTCCATGTCTAGTTAGTATTCGTACAGAATAGTAAACATTTAAAAACATTTTATGTTCTGCATTCTTCAGTCAGTCTGTGGTAGCTAATAACTAGGATTGAAAGAATCCTAAGTATTATAACAAGTAACTAAACTTGGAAAGTGTCACTGACAGCTTAGTTAATGCAGGAAAGCTGCATTAGCTTTCAACAAAACCAATCGTTCCATGTTGTCCACATTAAGGCCGTGTATGCAGAAGCGGGTGTAAGGTAACTACTATTCATTTTCGGCCCGACCACAACTATTTGGCTGAATACCGAATAGTCAATAAGTCCAGTATTCGGCCCAGAAGCGAATACGAAGCGAATATTCGATACAGCCCTAATTTATACCACCTTGAAAGAACAGGGCCAGTATCCCGTAGCAATCAAATGAAGTTGCTGAGGCTGGTTAAACATGACACAAGTAATATCTTCAGGTAAATCAAATCAAACCAAAGTGCCACCATATGTTACCCTAACTATGACCCAGACTACAGCCATGAGTTTCACTGGCCCATAGAGAAAGCAAAGAACAGTCCTCTTCTTCGCATTCATCAACTGTAAACTCCGGTGGAATGTTCTGTTTGTTGGTTATTTTTTTTTTTAACTTTAGCCTGGTTTCAGAACCTGGGTGTTGTGTGCAAATCTGTTCTACAAATCTAACTTATTAGTATGCAGACTGTTGGTTACTTGCCTCTTAGGCAGATGCACTCCGACTACGAAGGACACCCCCAATTAGACGACTCTTAAGACATGCCTTTTTTTTTTTAACAGGCCTACTTTTGTTTTCCTCCACAATAGGGCCCTGGAAACCACAATGGGAACAAAGAAGAGTAAAATCATAACCTACAAAATGGAGTCATTGTAGGGCTTGCTGTACCATTCTGTATAAAACCTTAGTCCCCAACCAATTGCGGAATGAGACAGAAGAGTATGAGATGGCTGAGAGATTATCCCAACTATCCTCTTTTGTTGTATCTACCCCTGACGGAGCGGTTGGTTGGCACACTGTGTTGTGGTTTACAGTTACTGCCAGGACAATTGTTTGTTCAAAAGTTTTCAAATGGGACATTGAGAGACATTTCATTAGATTTTCACTGGCACAAGAACGGAGCAAGTGTGGGGTAACATGCTTGCAGTGAAGTTGAAACCTTGACTATGACCGAGACTAAGACCAGCACTTTTTGTCGTAATCAGATTTAAGTAAATCTTTAATTAACTGTCTATACAACATACTTGTACAGGGGTAATAGGTTTCTACCCCCCTCCAAAATAGCAAGAACACACGCAAAGAGATGAGGGATTACAAACAGAAGAAGACTAAAAAAAAAAAGTTACAGCAATAGCAAAAGAAGAATATGCATTTTTTTTTAAAATTACTAATTACTTGTAGCTATTTCTAGTTTTCTTGTAAACTGGCTTGTTCCTGGTGTCTTCAAACGTGTTTGTAGTTAGTTTGTTATTGTCATGGCTTAAAAAATGAGAAGTGAGATATTGCTTTCCAAAAATGTGTCTTATTTATGCTAGCATGAAATTTTCCCTTGGAATTAATCAAACTCCTTTTTACTTCATAGTGGTGATGACACGTCCTTCGATTCTACTCAGGCACCAAAATGAGAGGAGACAATTAGAGGCAAGGATATGGATGTGGAAGGAATTACAAAAGGTATCAATGAAGAAAAAAAAAAGATAACTTTGAAATGGCAGTGTTTTTGCTTCATAACAAGCTGGAGACAGGAGGAAATATGTGGATGTGAACAGTTTGCTTTGCTGTTGACTTTTAAAATCAATTATCATCTGAATGAAAAAAGCAAAAGAAATAACATAATCAAATTTATAAAAATGACTTACTTTGACCACGGAGCAGACTTTTCTTCAGCCTCATTATGCACCAGATTCTGAACCTATAAGTTTAAAACAGAAGGAGACATAAATTACACAACTGTGGAGGTTAAGTGTTTGAGGTTTGTAAACAATTATCCCTGTACAGAATCATCCCACTTCACACGAATACCTCTACTGTGACTGTTACATCTCCTTCCATTATAACCAATAAGGAAGTTCTCAAGCCAGTACACAAACATCTCAGCAATGGCCCAGCAAGGTCAGGTGGTACCAACAATTTCCTGCCCCCCCCCCCCCACCAAATTTTTTTAATTAGCCATTGGGGGTGGGGGCATATTATCACCTCCCTCAGTGATAACATCAAGGGCAGCCCACAACCCTTATCACCTCCCTCAGTGATAACATCAAGGGCAGCCCACAACCCTTATCACCTCCCTCAATGATAACATCAAGGGCAGCCCACAACCCTTATCACCTCCCTCAATGATAACATCAAGGGCAGCCCACAACCCTTATCACCTCCCTCAGTGATAACATCAAGGGCAGCCCACAACCCTTATCACCTCCCCCAGTGATAGCATCAAGGGCAGCCCACAACCCTTATCACCTCCCTCAGTGATAACATCAAGGGCAGCCCACAACCCTTATCACCTCCCTCAATAACATCAAGGGCAGCCCACAACCCTTATCACCTCCCTCAGTGATAACATCAAGGGCAGCCCACAACCCTTATCACCTCCCTCAGTGATAACATCAAGGGCAGCCCACAACCCTTATCACCTCCCTCAATGATAACATCAAGGGCAGCCCACAACCCTTATCACCTCCCTCAGTGATAACATCAAGGGCAGCCCACAACCCTTATCACCTCCCTCAGTGATAACATCAAGGGCAGCCCACAACCCTTATCACCTCCCTCAGTGATAACATCAAGGGCAGCCCACAACCCTTATCACCTTCCTCAATGATAACATCAAGGGCAGCCCACAACCCTTATCACCTCCCTCAATGATAACATCAAGGGCAGCCCACAACCCTTATCACCTCCCTCAGTGATAACATCAAGGGCAGCCCACAACCCTTATCACCTCCCTCAGTGATAACAGCAAGGGCAGCCCACAACCCTTTTCACCTCCCTCAGTGATAACATCAAGGGCAGCCCACAACCCTTATCACCTCCCTCAGTGATAACATCAAGGGCAGCCCACAACCCTTGCACCCCTCTGCACCTCAGGCTAGACAGGATCCACCATGTCTGTAAACCAGAATCTAGATTGATATTCTGCTGTGGACAAATGTTCCATATTCTGCTGTGGACAAATGTTCCAAATGTGTGGCCAAGAAGCAGAAAAGTAACTGTGGCAACGCACTGCTGAATCTACAGAGCAAGGCAAGACGTGGGCTTTCCGTGTTATCAGAAGTATCCTGGTTTCTAGGAAAGTTGTCTTGATATCCTGCCACTGCCTCAAATCGAATGATGATTTTTAAAGTCAGTGTGGCATCCAAATATCTCAACAGCCTCAGTGATTGATGTCACTAAATGAATCACCCAATATATACCATTTTAGGCCCTGGGGAATGTATCTTCTTCTTCTTTGCGTTTGGTTTCATATGCTCAGATCAGACCATCAAGTGGGTTGCCTCTATGAACTCGCATGTCAGTAGCAGGTCCTTCATGGTCCCCCAATAGCTTGCTTTGCACACTTTGCTATTGAGGCCAGGTGTCTTTTCAAAGTTGTATGTAGAGTGGGCATGTCTGCAGAATGTGCTCAGGTGTTTGTGGTCCTGTTTGACAGGCACACTGTGGGCACTGTACAATCTTTATTTTATGCATGTGGTAGTTGAGCTTGCAGTACCCTGTTAGTAGACTGAAAATTGCTGTATGTTGCTTTCTGTTGAGTTTGCTGATGGGATCTTGTGGATGTTTACTGTTTGTTCTCTCCACAATTACTTGTATTTTCCCTTGATAAGTGTATCTCGTTTAATGCTTCACTCATCATAATTACTGACTAGGCTCTTTATAGATCTTTATATATTAAATTTTTTTTTGATGTAGACAAATAAATTTTTTAAACTTTTAAACCTGTGTAAAATTGTTTTTTAATTATCTTTTTCAGGAATTCAAATGGGCTCATAACCAATATTTGTAAGTGGGGCAAAAGGGTTCAGTGAAACTCATTTCTTAAAGCCGGACATGGTCAGTCCTAGAAAAACATAAATGCAAAAATTACAACCCTGTGAGATGAGATGCATGAGAAATGTTGCAGGAAAAAATAAGAAGAGACAGATTCACAAAAGAAGAACTAAGAATCAAAGTTAGACACAGTACCTGGTAATGGTTTCATAGATCATCAAAGAATCAAATGGTTTGGTCATCTGGTCAAAATGGAACAAAAATCAGCCAGCAGCTACAGTGTACTACATGAGAACAACCGCAGGCTACAAGGCAAGAGGCCGATCAAGAAAGAGATGGGTGGAGTAAGTAAAAGTAATTTTCTAGTTGCTTGCTCATTGTCAGAATTTTAAAGTCTTATGTGCATTTTTATAACAACCGGGTTGTGATCTGAGTTTATGTCTATTTGTCAGCTTCAGGATATTCTTTGGAATTCACTAAACTTTTTAATCATAATATAATCAATTTGGTTTCTACTTCTATCTCCAGGACCTGTCCATGAATAGTTTCCCAGGTGGATGCTGAAAGAAAGATTTACAAATAATGAGCTGGTTCTCCTCACAAAACTGTATCAGCCTATCACCTCTTTCATTCCTGGTTCCAATGCCATATTGTCCTACAATCTGCTTGCGTTTCATTTTCCCTACATTTGCATTCATATCTCCCATGACTATTAAGACCTCTGAGGATTTTACCACTGTTAATGTTTGTTGTAGGTCTTTGTAGTAGTCTTCAACCTGTCCATCATTATAGTCTGTTGGTGCATACGTCTGTAATACTGCATTTTCAAAAGGTTTTGCTTTAATTTTGATTAGTACCATTCTATTTTTATGAGCCCAGAATCTACTATTGTAGCTCACCATATTAGGTCTTATTAGAAATCCTACTCCATTCTCATGATGTTCACAGCCAGAATTAATCAAGATGTGAGCATCCCTCTTTATGAAGCTAGCATCAGTCCATCTTGTTTCTGATACTCCCAAGATATCCAGATTAATATTTTTTACCTCAGAAATCCAGCTTTCCTGCTTGGTACGGGGTATGTACGTTCCATGTACCAATTCGTAGACACATCCTTCTAATTTTTTGATAGGTGTCCGAATGAATCTTTTCAAAATAATTCAGGATCATTCATCATTATACTCTATCCTAGTCACTATAGGAGATGTCTTTTCCCTCGTATTTACAACAGGCAAATCTCCGTGGTGCCCAAGGATTGCCTGTATCGCTGTTTCTTTCGTTATGATTCCATTGCTAACTTTAGAGTGATACATGGTGAGGTCCCAATCTCTTCCATGATGGCCAGCCGTGTTCACTATTGTGTCCTGAACACACCTCATGTGTGCTCCATCAGCTATGCACTCTACTGTTTCACTTTACAAGCCATTGATCTTTATTAATTATTCCGCCTTGTTCACCCTCCCAGTCTTCGTGTACTAGGGATGGACATTTCCCTGCTGTAGGATATTTAGATATTACTCCCACTTCACTCATGTTGTTTAGTTTAGCCAGTCAGCCACCAAGACTGTTTCTGGCTATTCTCAGAATAACAGGCACATATTATGGCCGCCGCAAAACCTAAAAAGGCCTTAGTACATGTCAATTGCGCACTTCCAGCGACTTAATTTGCGGACTTGCGGCAACTACCACCACTGCTGCGCCCAGCGTAGATTGGGGCTAAACTAGATGGCTGGGACTCAGGAGCAGCAGTTCCGCATATCCTGCAGCTTTGCTCGTGAGTCCCAGCCATATAGTTTAGCCCCAATCTACGCTGTGTGTAAGTAGCAGTGTGGGAGATACTCTGGCAATGGCGGTAGTTGCCGGAAGTGCCCAAATGAAGTCATCGGAAGTCCGCAATTTACATGTGACTGAGGCCCTGTTTTGGCCCCCATAATATTTGCCCGAGATTCGGAGGATAGCCCTTTTTCGGTTATTCTCCGAATAACGTTCGGTAAAAATGGCGGCTGCAAAATTTCCTTTCGAGCCACAGTCACGTGACCTAATTTGCGGTTTTCCGAGGACTACCGCCACGTGTCCCTCATGCGGTGTGGATTGGGGCGAAACTAGATGGCTAGGACCCACAAGCAGCAGGTTCCACATCTCCTGAAGCTTTGCTCGTGAGTCCTAGTCATCTAGTTTTGCCCCAATCCACACCTCATGAGGGGCACGTGGCGGTGGCGGTAGTCCCCAGAAAAACCGCCGGAGAACCGCAAATTAGGTCACATGACTGTGGCTCGAAAGGATATTTTGCGGCCACCATCTTTACCGACCTTTTTTCGGAGGATAGCCCCTGTTTCTTTTTAACGTGGTGTGGCTACCGAAGAACCAACCAACCCCATCATTTTTGTGTGTGTGTCGTGTGTGGCTGTTGTGGTTTTTCTAGGCAAATTTACGTCCAATTCTCCGAACTTCTACCCCCGCAGTATTGCGGCCTGAAATATCCGTTTGGGGCGCAGTCCAACTAAAAATATGCCGGCTCCGTATAACGAAACAAATACTCTAACAGGGTCCCAGCAATATGTTACTTGCAGACCTGTTTCTTATTGTTTCTGATTACCTGACAATTCTAAGAGACGCAACACTGCAGATGATAGTAGCAGACGACGATAATAGCGACCGTAGACACTTTCCATTGTGAACTTTCTGCCGACGAACAAATCGCGGCAAATCTAGGATCGGCTCGGAAAAACGAAACAAATGTTCTAACAGGGTCTCAGCGATATGTTACTTGCGGACCTGTTTCTGTGACTATGCCTCACGGCCGACCGTATCCCCCGCGCCGCTATGCGCGGCACGGATAGGGGCTAAACTAGATGGCTGGGACTCACAGTCAGCAGCTACCGCATCTCCTGCAACTTCCTCCAATTACTTTGCTCGTGAGTCCTAGGCACCTAGTGACCTAGTGTAGCCCCCATCTGCGCCTTGCGTAGCGGCGCAGGGGATACCCTCGGCAGTGAGTTTATTATCGTTTTGCGCATGCCAACAAGTCTGACATCTACTGCAGCTAAATCCTCAATTGGAAGAACAGTATTGCTAATCTGCGTGGGAGCAGATTGTCAACAGTCGCTTTTATCATCTGAGTAGTATCATCTGCAGAAATCGCTTGACATTGTCACCGGTCGTTTTTATCGTCTGCTACTATCGTCTGCAATGTTGCGTCTCGTGACATTGTAAGGTACTCCTAGTTTGGCCGCAATTTGTTCCTCGGCGGGAACTCCAACAAGTCCGTATTTTTAATTGGACTGCGCCCGGAACAGATATTATTTATTATCATATTTCAGGCCGCAATACTGCGGGGGTAGAAGTTCGGAGGAGAGCCCAATAGTTTACCATTGCTTTCTAGACGGTCGGCTCCTCGATGCCACTGTCGCAACCAACGCAAGGCCCGCAGCTGGGATCAAACCCGGCACCCCGGCATTAATTAGTTAGCGCCTTCGTAACTTGATCTGATCAGAAGAAAAACTAAAACACTGACACTGAACACTCAAGGTCCAAATGTATACTTAACTACACTACTCACACTGTGATTCACAGATCCCGTGCTAAAGGGAGGTTGGGAATTCAAATATTTCATATCCTCTCTAGATAATGTCTCGCTGTCAATAAATCCATCATCGGAATCAAAATCATCTTCTTCTTCGGCAGGCATGTATGCCATTTTAGAGCTTGAGAAAACCGAAAGTGCAAGAACTGTTTCTAATTATGAAAACTTTCTCCTGCTAGTTAATACAAAATTATGAAAACGGATAAACATTAACAGAAGAAAAGTAATTGATAATTTGTTGAACATACAGTCGTTGGAGGTAAAATATATTTTTAGCCTATCTTGATACTAGACTTGGTATTATTTTAATTGAAAATTGCACACATTGCTGTCTTTTAGGAGGGTGTATTGTGCAAGAACTAACATAAAACACTGTTGTTTTGGGAGAAATTCTCAGTTGCTTTGACTTTGATAAGTTTGATTTTAGTTTTTACTTAACCCTCTGGAGAAGGAATTAATAAGTACTCTGGAGACGGAGCACTTTTTGGAGTTCCAGTGAAAAAAAAAAGACGAAGCCTTCATCTCACAGTTTATACTTTATACACACACAAATTATAAAAAATAAAGCTTTAATTAACATATAGAAAACTGGATTATCTTTTAAACTACGGTCGGTTAATCGGAGTTCAGTTCCCTGGCTACAGTGCAATTACGGAGTGGATACGGCACGAATCACAAAACAAAGTGAGGTCAAAATTATCAGATATAGCAGCGGTCATTATGGGCAGGTACTATACTTTACATGTGTTACCCTAACCCTACCCCTAACCCACACCCTAGCCGTATGATGACAGCAGGGCACTGCACGCTGTCTATCGCTAAACACACAGTAATTATGTCATTTGTGTTGTTTCCGTAATTCCACTGCAGCCAAGGGACTGAACTCTGACTAACCGGCCGTAGTTTAAAGGAGAGCCGAAAACTGTATATATTCGGAATATTATTCGTGTAGAAAATTAAATGAGCTAACAATACATAATATTTAGGAATCAAACTGAAATCTCAACATATATTCAAATTAACTATTCTGATTTGCATAATTTAAGCAAGCATTTTTTTTTTTTACACTCAGGAAGTCAGGTGGCAGAAGTCGCCGGTAGTGTGCAATTTAAGTCGCCGGAAGTTCACAATTGACTGAGGCTCTGTTAGGGTATATTTTCCACCTCGATAATTTGGGACCGTTATTCGGAAGATAGCCGTCCTTTATGCCTTTGTTTGGGCACAGGTAACCCCAGAAAAAAATTGATGTATAGTTACCGAACACATTAAACTTTCTCAAAAGTCGTCAATGAACAGCCCACATGTGCAAAAAAAATGTGAGAAGCAATCTGATTGGCTAGTACGAAAATCTGCCAGCCAATCTCAAGGCTTGTATTACATAAGGCTGACCGATCGACCCAGTCGTCCTTTAGGCTACTTTGTGCCAGGCCGGTATTTCGGCCGCGTCGTCCCAAGACGGTTAAATTTGAGTGAACATGTCTGTCTAAAATTAAAATTAAAGAGTCGAGAAGAAGCATTAAGCAAATCGAATATATCAGTCAAAAAGTTTTTTGCAACAAATAAGCTTCAGCTTTACAATTGTTATTCTTTTCATGGTTTTGATAAAACCGAAAACAGGTACAGCTCCAGTGTTTTGCACGATTGACAAACATTCGCTTCATTGGGTTGAAATACGACCGGCTTCAGGTGACGGGAGTTGTTGCTGACATCACCGGTTCAGGCTAACGATGCTTTAACGCAGCGGTTCTCAAACTGAGTGCCGAGGCACCCCGGGGTGCCTTGAACATATACCAGGGGTGCCTCGGCAATAATCAAGAAAAGTCGGCTAAAAATTGTGAAATTATTAAAGAAGGCATGTAGATACTTAAAAGTTAAAATTTAAGTTGTCTTCCCTCGCCACTGTCAAAAATAGTTTATTTCATATTTGAGAACCGCTGCATTAACGCAGTTAACCGGTGGCGTCAGCAGCATGGCCCGTCAGCTGAAGCCGGTCGATGTTGAAACAAGCCAAGATATCAAACTTAGATATGCTTATATCATACGTAAACAAAGCAACAGTGCGCGGTTTGGTTGCGCAGAGGATCAGCGAAAATGTTTCGTTTCCTAACCGGTTACAAAATAATTTTTAGTTTGCATTTTTAGCTGTTCGTAAGTGAATACATGTGCTCGTAGCAGTGTTGCCACTTTGGATCTTTTATATCCAAATTTAAATCTTTTTCATTGCATTTAGATACTGTTTTTGACGTTTAGATCGTAAATATTTTTCTAGAGACTTTTTATATGGAGATAGATATTTTATAGATTTTTTTTTCTTTCAGTGTCAATTTAATAATTACCGTGTAAAATATATACTACAATATTTTTGTTTTGGTCTGGCACTTACATTGTGACAACTGTCATTACTTGAGCTTTGAACTCTCACTGGGGTCAACGCACAAATATCTGGCAGCCCCGGTACTGATTAATAAAAACGCGCCTCAATCATACTAACTTTGTTTCAACCGTATCCTCACTGTGCTGACTTTGCGTTTCTTTTTCATGTGATTAAAAAAAAATTGCTCACCTTCTTATGTGGCTTTCACTTTGAAAAACCTTTCAACATGCCAAAAGTAAAGTGTGAGCAAAAAATTTGGAAAGAGTGGTTGCATGATGACAAAATTAAAAACTGGGGATATGACAAAGCGGTACTATATTTTTTGCGTACCCCTGACGTCACAATGACGTCACAGGAGACATTCCCAATAAATTCTAGGGTGTTCAGGTTGTGGTTTCTCGCGGTTTCTCTACATCCAAGTTGTTCACATCGCAAAAGCGCGCTCTTGCAAAACGCGCCTTTACTATGACGTTCAGTGTTGCCACTTCGGATATTTAACATCCACATTTAGATGTTTTTCCTTCCATTTAAATGTCTTTTTGACGTATAAATGGTAGATGCTTTTCTAGATTCTTTTCATATGTTTTTCCTTCCATTTATGTCTCTTTGACGTTTAAATGGTAGATGCATTTCTAGATGCTTTTCATATGTTTTTCCTTCCATTAAGATGTCTTTTTGACGTTTAAATGGTAGATGCTTTTCTAGATGCTTTTCATATGTTTTTCCTTCCATTTATATGTCTTTTTGACGTTTAAATGGTAGATGCATTTCTAGATGCTTTTCATATGTTTTTCCTTCCATTTAGATGTCTTTTTGACGTTTAAATGGTAGATGCTTTTCTAGATTCTTTTCATATGTTTTTCCTTCCATTTAGATGTCTTTTTGACGTTTAAATGGTAGATGCTTTTCTATATTCTTTTCATATGTTTTTCCTTCCATTTATATGTCTTTTTGACGTTTAAATGGTAGATGCATTTCTAGATGCTTTTCATATGTTTTTCCTTCCATTTAGATGTCTTTTTGACGTTTAAATTGTAGATGCTTTTCTAGATGCTTTTCATATGTTTTTCCTTCCATTTAGATGTCTTTTTGACGTTTAAATGGTAGATGCTTTTCTAGATTCTTTTCATATGTTTTTCCTTCCATTTATATGTCTTTTTGACGTTTAAATGGTAGATGCTTTTCTAGATGCTTTTCATTTGGAGTCAAATATTTTTTTTCTTATGGTAGATGTTTTTCTAGATGCTTTTGATTTGAGTTGAATATTTTTTTTCCAGTTATTATTGTTTTTTCTTTCAGTTACTCAAACTTTGAACTCTCACTGGGGTCAAAGCTCAAATATCTGGCAGCCCCGGTACTGATTAATTAAAAGGGTGCGCAAATCACACTTACTTTGTTTCAACCGTAACCTCACTGTGCTAACTTTGTGTTTCTTTTTCATGTGATTAAAAAAAATAATTGCTCACCTTCCTATGTGGCTTTCACTTTGAATAAACATTTCAATATGCTAAAAGTAAAGTATGAACAAAAAAATATTGGCAGTTCCCGGGGATATCACCAAAGCTCGATGTAAGTACTTTCATAAATCGCACAAACTACGAACGACGTAGCGCCAGCAACGGTCAAATCATTATTTGTTTCGTTGCCGGCCTGGAATTGCTTAACATAAACAATCCATACAGACGTTTATCTCAAATTGCAGATCTAAGCCATGTTTTACACGACGACGTAATGTGCTGAACGATCGCTCCACAGTACATGTTGTTGCTGGTAATGTTAGCAAAAATAGTAACACATACCTGACACTCAGATAAAACTTTGTAAAAGGTACAAGTCGATAAAATCTTGTCTACTTCTGCATTCTCGCGTTTTCCCTCCACCGTGTGGGTTCAGGGGCCCTATTGTGGGGAAAACAAGAATAGACCCACTGCCTCCCCAAAAGCATGTCGTAAGAGTCAACTAACTGGGGAACTTTCTTTGAAGTCGGAGTGCATCTGCCTGAGAGGCGAGGAACCAACAGTCTGCATTCAATTGAATCAGATCTGTAAAACTGATGCACACGCAACACTCATGTTCTGGAGCATGGCTGCAGTCCAGAAGTGGTTGAACAACCAGAACTTTACGCCAGAGTGTACTGCTGGTGAACGCGAAGAAGAAGAAGAAGAAGAAGAAGAAGAAGAAGAAGAAGAAGAAGAAGAAGAAGAAGAAGAAGAAGAAGAAGAAGAAGAAGAAGAAGAAGAAGAAGTTTCAAAATTATCAATGTAGTATATCTGAATAATAGTAGACATTATATCGTTAAACTTTTTACGATTCAGTTTGCACAATTTCGAAGGATGTAGCAACGCTAAGTTAAATTGTGCACTGTTGGCTTCACAGAATCGACTCTCAGTTGAGTTAATTAGAGAATCTAAGTATGGAATGTAAACAGTTTGAAGTACTCTTCAACACTTATGGTTCCCGGATTACTTCGATACTTTTGTCTTCCACTCTGTCTTGGGATAATCAGCTCAGTATCCACTTTCTGTGCGAGTTGTAGTGTTTTCACAAAAATATCCCTGAAATAGTTATCGGAATCACCTCGGTGAAGTTTTACTACACTGAGCAGGTTTTGAACTTGCAGTTGGACTTCTGGAAGATCAACTTGAACAGCTAGAAGAGCCTGAGTAACTGGTTCCAAGTCTTGAGAAATAATATTGAGACAAAATAAAAACGTGCTGGACTTTGATGAACAATGTAACTG